CAATACACTTGGATACAAATATCAAATATATAACAGGATCATTGTCATATGGATACAAGCAATGATCCTCCTTTGTCCTGTAATGAAATGTTGTTCTAAGGGTCAGCCTTAGGGGTGTGTGAGCAGTGCGGCTAGACAGGGCACAATGGCAACAAGGGTGTGAGGAAGCAAACATAGCTCAAACATACAGGGATTGGTGGTGCAGTGGCAAGTTTCAAAAGCTGGCCCCAGTAAGGGAGGCAGAGCTAAATATCATGTAGGTTGGTGGACTGTCTACCTGTGAATATGTGTTACTGTCTACCTATGAATATGTGTTACTGTCTACCTGTGACTCTGTGTGTGACGGTCTACCTTTGAATATGTGTTACTGTCTACCTGTTACTCTGTGTGTGACTGCCTGCCTGTAACTGTATATGTGACTGTCTGCCCAGAACTGTGCGTGTAACTGCCCGTAACTATGTGTGTAACTTTGTGTTGCCAAAAGAAAAACAAAGTCCTAAAATGTGAAGAAATCATCTTCAATGGTCATTCACTGGAACATCCATGATTTGAGCATTTGTTAATATTTTATTTATATGTATTTCTGTTTCTGTGCAAATATTTCAGATTCTGCCTGTATTGCTGAATGTGTTAGATCGCATTGTATTCCCCCTATATTTCTGTAAAGAATGAACAAATAAAAAACTAAATTTTAAAGATATGTTTACATTTGATTTTTTTCTTATCTGGAACAGCAATCTATACATGCAATTTCTATTTTGTTAAATGCTTGTGTTCCTCTAAGCATCCAATATTTCAAACAAATGCTAAAACACATGGTTGAAACAGGGGTTGAAAGGTCACTAAATCCTAGCAATGTGCTATTGGTAAAATGGCCTTACCACCATGATAAATGGTATGGTTAAATAAGTTCAAAAGGCATTTGACCCTCTGGCCAAAGTGTGTGTTTATCTAAAATATATTTTTCTTAATTTGTTTTGTCTAAAGGAATGAAAACAGATATAATCAGACTAAAGGCTTTGCCCAATACTTATTGTAAAAATTATATGTTTTTAAAAAATGCTGTATAGTAGAATGCATATACAGCACAGATATGTCAACATGAATTTATTTTAAGCCAAATGGTGTCCAGAAAAATCATGTTGTATGATCTGTTGGTTAGTGACATTCCTGAGGCATAATATATCTCTGTGAAGAAGTCAGTTTTCATTGTATCAATCACATGAAAACAATAATCTTACTTTATGTTTTATATGTTTCTATTGAATCAGCTGCCCCAAAAACAAAGCCAAGCTAAACTAAGGGAATTTGTCAAGTCCGGTTTCATCCCCTCGATCATTTGAAAACTCTTGTAATGTTTTAGCTGCTGGAGGTACAATTTGTACAAAGTCATTATGCTTTTATTTAATCTTTAAATTAAATCTATTGAATAAGACAGCCTGAGGTAAGTTTTATTTGAAAAAAAGTCACTTTTTATCTAAATTTAATAATTTAAGTAAAGTCTGTTTAAAGCAGTCCGTTGTTCAATCCTCATTAAATCAATAAATAGATCTCTGAGTAAAAAATATATTAGAACAGTCATGCAGAGAAAGGTTATTTGAAATCTGGAAATAACTACAAAGAATTTCTCTGAATTGTTCACTTAAAAGCAATAACATTAAAATAATCTAAGATCTTTTCTAAATTGGAAGAACAAGTGGTCCACACAGGCCAAGAGTGCTTAGGAGCACAGGGACACGATTCTCTCCTGTTGTTGTTGATCTGCCTTCTATGATTCACATCTGCAACACTTTTTATCTGGTTGTGCAGCTAAAGTTAGCTAAGTTAGAACTATGTTGTTTTTTAACTTTGTCAGAAAATTATTCAACTCAGCAAAAACAGTTTCAACACAGAAAAAAATAAAATAAAAAACAGTGTATCTCAAAGTAAAACAGTCCCCTTTTTGCTTCTATTCTATGCTATATAAAATGTTTTGTTAAGGCTTAAAAAGGAAGCTTCAATTTCTAATTGCTAATTTAATTCCTTAATAATTATTTGATGATAAAAAAAATATTTTCCTTGTTGTCTGGAATTGCTTGATACCTAAGCATCTAAATATAGCAAGTAAGTATAGTATATGGAGCAAGTAAGTGAGTAAGTGAATAAGCATACATATGTATGTCCTAAATGTGAACTCCATCTAAAACGATTTTTATTTCTTCACCCTTCAACTCTTAATAATTTATTATTCATAATTTAATTTCAATATTTTAATTATACAGGACCACCTTTAGTTTTTACTGAACTTTGGACAAACCTAAACGTTTAATTGTGTCAAGCCCTCACACACAAGTAGTAATGATCTCTCACTAGCCCAATCACCAAATTTTAACCAGAATATCATCAAAACTCACTAACGCACCTACTCACGCACTCACTTATCGCCAAAGTTAGGTGTCTGTAGTGCATCATTAAATGTCTGAAAAACAGAATGTTGCTATTTTTGTGCATGCCCATCACATATGCTAAAATGTGGCATGTGCTCCACATTCTATTAGAAAAATCTAAAAATGGCTGTAGAAGATATATAATTTTGAACATTTTAGAGTGCAGAGTTCTTGTTTAATATCGACCTAACAATATACGTTGGGTGAGGAATTAGCCTTTAAAACTTGAGCAAGTCTTGTAGCTCTGTAAAATTGGACAGGGTCAGAAACACCCACTTCTTTGGCCTGCCCATAATAATTCTTGCATGCCACATCTAAGGTTAATGAGAGCACTAAGAGGCAAATGAATCGCTCTAAACAAACAATATCTTTGTGAGTATCAACCTTTTCAGAGAATAAACATGTCCTATAAGAGAGATATTATAAGGTGTCCATTTCTTCATAAGAAAATCTAAGTGGGACAACATTTGCATGTAGTTGGAGGTATAAAACTATTGCCTCCATCTAGTTATGACCACTCCTAAGTATTTCAGTTGTTGTGTGTTAGCCTTAAACTTAAATGAAAAAGCTAAACTTATAAAATCTCTATCACACATAGAGATAGTAAGTCCTTCACATTTAGACTGATTTAATTCCTGATTCCGAAGACGTTTTTCCTCATTGTGGATGTTGAGGGTTCAATATATAGAGCAAATAGAAAAGGAGCTATGAAACAGTTCTGCTTTGTTCACTTGAGAATCAGAAATGTTGTGGAGCATACTCCCATTATCAAAACGTTAGCAGACGGGTTGCAGAGATAAATCTTCCTGATAAGCCAAATTGATAAAGGACCACCCAGTCTATTCTTTTCAAAACTTTTTCTTCATCTAGACTTAATAATATTGAGGAAAATTCTCCTGCAAGTCAATCAAATTAAGAACTCTCTGTATCATGGCTGGTGCTATTCAATTTAAAATTAATCCACCTTGATGAGAGTAATAGGCTCAGTTTATTTACTAAAATGATTGCAGATATTCTATATTAAATATCTAGTTATGAAATTGGTCTGTTAGAGGATGAGGACACGTCCTTCTTTTGGCAATACTATCATACATTTGCTTCAAACATTTCAGGTACAATTTTGTTCCCACATAGCAGAGACCTTATAAGGCTATCTTTCTATTGTTGGTCAATTGTGTTACCATTGTAAAGATATTTATAATAATTTGCAAATTCTTTGTTTCTCTAGGATCCACCAGTAATTGGCCAGTAGATGAACAGATTCCCAAAATGTACTGTGCATGTCAGATTTGTTAGCTTTTTATATTAACTCTCTTCGGGTTTCTAACTACGTTGTATTTAGATATTTTATTTAATTTTGAGTGCATCTCTGACATAGACATGTATTTTATGGAGACTTAAGGTGCATTATAATTTTGAATGTAAGTATAACATAGAATCCTCTCAAATCATTTTGTGTTAGGATGAACAGCAGATTATCAAGCCATTAATAAATGCCTTGAATGTTGCCCATATTAGGCTCTCATTAATCCCCTTAGTTCTATTCTAGTCAAAAAACAAGTTAATGTCACTTGTTAACTCTCTATCAATATCTTCTTTAAAGAGATGTCCCTCTATCGATACAGTTTATCTCTGAAAAATATTTATGAAAACTGGGGAGTGATCTCACCACAACACTGTATCTATCCAGCAGGTGTCAATGAACTTAACATTAGATCATCTATTCTGAAATATATTCTATGAGTATGTGAGTAAACATTTTTAAAAGGATTGATATGATCTGCATTCTCCATACATCACAAAGAAACTGCAAAGATAAGAATTTTTCTAAAATACTCTGTCTGGGTGAGAATTTCTTAGGTTGACATTAGGAGTAAGGACTAAATTTATGTTAATAATAGCATTAAAATCTCCACCAGGAAAAAGGAAATGAGGATTGCTGCTTTCGAGAAGTTTCCGTGA